ATAGGCTCTGAGAGTGCCTTAGGATGCTGGAGGGTACTGAGGAGGACGATGGTGGGGCGGGTGTGTGTGTGTGTGTGTGCAGAGAATCTCGGCGAGATGACTGGGTGCAGGTGCACAACCAAACCCCCACACTCACCGGCATCAAAGCTGCCACTCGCTGCTGCTGCTGCTGCTGGTCGATCTTGAACAGCTGCACCTTGGCTCTCTTGAGAAGGCTGAACATTTTCTCCTCTACACCAGACAGTGGTACAGAACTCTGGTTTGCAATCCGGGCCTTTTCCAGAGGGGCTGGCGGCTGTGGTAGCAGCGATGGTAACTGCAGCTGGACCTGTGGCTGCTGTGGTGGCAGTGCCTGAGGCAGCAGCTGCGTTTGCAAGGCTTGGAGGGGCTGCTGTAGCTGAGCCTGCTGCCCATTGCTCAGGGCGGGAGCCCCAGGAGGGGGCACCTCGGCCTTAGCAGGAGTGGCGACCACGGGGGCAAATCGAGGCAGGCTGAGGTGGTTGGTGCGGCCCACTGCCCGTGGCTCAGGCTCGGCTGGAGAGTCATCGGCGGGAGGAGGCTCTGGCTCGGGGGCTTCAGGGGCCCCAAGAGGAGTAGTAAGCACCGATTCGTAGATCTTCAAGTGGGCTTCACTTGGGGTAAACTGAGCAGCCCGAAGGAGCAGGGGCCTCCGGGGTGGAGTGACAGGGGCAGGTGGTGGGGGTGGAGCGGGTGGAGGGGCAGGGGGAGGTGGAGGCAGTTCCCGAGTGAGTGAGGTCCAACGAAAAGTGGGTTCCCTTAGAATAGACCTTCTCTTCTCAGGAAGTGGGACAGGTGTAGATGGGGGGGTTGGGGCACGAGGTGGGGAGGGGGCCGGTGCGGGTTCCTGGGGGGCAAGTGGGGAGAAGGCAACGGGAAGCTTCTGAGTAGGTGAGATCTCCACCTTCAGGGGCTTGGGGGGGTCTTCATCCATAAATCTCCGGGGTGTCTTGATGACACGGGAAGAGCGGGCACTCACCACAGGCATAATAAACTGCCGGATGTTCTTTAGGAAGGTGGTACTTTTGGGGACCACAGTGGGACTCTCTTCCAGAAGGCTGCCTGTGGTGGCGCTGGGGGCTGGAGCAGGAGGAGAGGTGCCCTCCGGGCCTGCCCGAGCAGCTTCCCGCTCCGCCCGCTGGCTGGGAGTCAGGGGAGGCCGGCCCCTCCTCCTGGAGCAAGTGGCTGGGATCATGGGAGAAGGGGGTTCTTCGGGCTCCTCCGGGGCAGGAGGCGGGAGAGGGGACGGTAAGCGTAGGGGGGAAACTGAGGGGGGCGGAGGGCAAAGCGGGGGTGGAGATGTTGAGGGGGGAGGGGGAGAGGGAGGGGAGGGAGGAGGAGGAGGGGGAGGAGGAGGAGGTGGTGGAGGTGGTGGTGGAGGGGCTGGGGGAGTCAGGGGTGGGGCGAGCAGCTTTGCCTCTTCTTTCTCCTCAGCGAGCATTATCTCTTTCTCAGCTATGGCTCTCTCTTCCTTCTCTTCCCCTTCCTCCTTATCTTTCTTTCCTTCTCTCTCCTCCTCGCCCTCCTCTTCTTCCAGGTTCTGCGCCTTCCTCCAGGAGGGATTCTCTCCCTGATCAGATCCAACTCTTCCTGGGGGGGCATCCTGCCAGCTTTCCTCATGGTGCTCTTGACCCTGACCTGATTCAAGTCCCAAGGACAATCGTCCCATCTTCACTTTTTTGGCCTTTGAAACAAACTTGATCACAAGGGGCAGCCCACCTCGGCCTCGACCCCTGCCTCCTCGGCCTCCTCGCCCAGACTGTCCTCCACGCTTGGGGGTCCCAGGGCCTGGGCCTGGGCCCTCCTTGCACTTCCAGCTGCCAGTTCGGTGTTTCACGGGAACCACGGGAGGTGGGGGCTCAGGTTTGGGGATTGTCACAGCTGCTTCTGCCACCACTACTGCTTGTTGCTTCTTCCTGCAAGGGCCTGCAGGCCGTCCTGGAGGCCGTCCCCGAGAACGACGAGGGGTAGAGGGCTCACATGCCCGGTTCCGGGGGGCTGGGGGTGCCTGGGCCCGCCGGAGAAGTTCAGTCAGTGCCTGCACCATCCGTTCTGTGCCCTCCTCACCCCGTTTCCGGGCAGGAGTCTTTGTGGGGGTAGGAGCCACATCTGTTAGACGCGGAGGCTGAAGGGGGGTCGTCTTATGCTTGCGACCCCGACCTCGGGGGGCTCGACCTAAAAGGAAAATAGGTGTGGGGAGATGGGTCAAGCTAGCCCTGTGGGCTGAGGAACGTGCTCCAGGAGGGCAGGGACTACGTCTTACTTATCTCTCTCCCCCACAGCCCAGCCTAGATTGGTCTCGGAACACAGAACACACTCAGTAACTGATGGGAGACTCTAGTGGAACAGGGAGGAGCTGACACAAGAGTGAGAATAACATTCCTGTAAGGCTACAGAGGTAGAGTTTTCCCCGTCACTCACCTCGCTGGGATCGGAGCGCAGAGCGCAGGGAACTGGGGGCCACATCTTCATCTGAATGAAAACCCTGAAACTCCTGATTTAGGGGACCAGGGGTGGAGGGGAGAAACAGCAGTCAGTGCCAAAGCCCTCATTCCACCTCAGACTCAGGTATCGAGGAATATTCCCCGCTTCCCCCTTCACCTAACCTGTCTGCTTACAAAAGCACTAAGACCCCTTCACCGTGAGGGGAGGAGAAAGTCGGGTCTCTCCTGAGGTAGGGGGGCACCGGGGCAAGGGGGCTACTTTCAACTCTCAAGCCTGGAACCGGACCAGCACTGGTGGTTGCTGGCCCAGAAGGGAACACAGCAAGGTCTCCTCAGGTCAGGCGGCCAGACGCTACCCTCAGATTCTCTGCTGCGCCTCCAGGAGAATGCGAGGACCTGTTTCTGCACCCTCCAGCCAGAGGGTCTCCCAGACGGAGGCTGGGAACGGGCCACCCAAGCAGAGCGTGCGCCTCCGCCAATCGGCTCCACTCTGGGGCCCCCGGGGCACGACCGACCGTGCTGCCTGAGGCAGGTCACCCCAACCCTCACTGCCTCTTCGGAGGCTGGGGGAGAAAGCCTGAGCAGCAGTGGACCCGCCGGCGGGCGCCCTCGGCCCCTTTCCCTTCCACCCGGGGGCCCCGGCCTCGGGGCAGCGGCTCCCCGGCTCGCCGGGCGGTGCGGGCGGCAGGGCAGGGCAGGGCGCACGCAGAGCCCCAGCCTGGCTCCACTGACCACGCTGCCGCTGTCAACCACCACCGCGGCTCGGGCAGGCGGCGCCGGCGCCGGGTCGCCCCAACCTCCACTGCCCCGGCGCTGCCAACTTCCAGGACGGGGGAGCCCGGGCACACTTCGGCGGGAGCTGCCCCGGGCCCAGGCGGCCGGCTGCAGCCAGGGCTGCCCCGGCCACTTTCCGAGGCCCCTTCCACCGACAGCTCCGCGCAGCCCCGCTCCGCCCAGGCCTCTTGCCAAGGCCCCTGCTCCGACCCCGGGGACCCCCCATTTCCCCACGCCACCCCCCGGGGACCTCCCCAGCTCCCTGGAAGCCCCTGGCCTCCGCCCCGCCCGGCGCCGGGGACGCCGCCGACTGCCTCACCTCATCGTCGGATTCCCCGTCACTGCTCTCCTCCTCCGGCGCGCTGGCCCGGCTCGGGCCCCAGCCCCGGCCCCGGCCCCGGCCCCGGCCCCGCTGGACGCGCGGGCCGGCCCACAGACGGCGGAGCCGGCGCAGGCCCCGGCGGAGCCCCAGCAAACGGAGCAGGGCCGTGTCCTCCCCCGGCTCGGCTCCGCCCGGCCCCGCCGCGCCGCCGCCCCGCCGCAGAGCTACCCGCACTCGCTCGGCCCCGCTGCCCCGTCCGCCGCGGCCCCCGCCCCCGCCGGAGCCCCGCGGCCGGCCCGGGAAGCGGCCCCGCGCGGAGCCAGGCCCGGGGCAACTGCCGCCGCCCGCCGCCGCCGCCATCTTGGCACCGTGAGAGGGGCCGGGGAGGCGGGGGGAGGGGCGGCCCGTGCGCAAGGCCGGGGGGAGGGGAGCGAGAGCAGGGGCGGGGCGGCTGCGGGGCACGACAACAAGCAGCGCCGCCGCGGGGCCGGCGGGAGCCGGGGGCTGCGCCCGCCGCGCGCGGGGCACCACGGGAGCGGGAGTCCGAGGCCGCGGGGCCGTCACCCCGGGACTGCGCCTCGGGGGCGCAGACCCCGCACCGCGGCCACGGAGCGGCGGAGGCGCAGGGGCCTCCGGGAAATGTAGTCCAGCGCCTGGCTCCTGCCCCCGGGAGCGAGGGCCGCGAGAGCCGGGACTCCGGGGGCCCGGCCGGACCCAGGAAAGCCAACTTCGGGGCCGCCGGGAGGTGTGGTTCTCGCCCCCGACGCCGCCCATTGTTCCTGCCGAGGCCAGTGACCCTCGTGAACTACCGCTCCCAGGGTGCCGTGGGCTCAGGTCCCTGGGAACCCCGGGGACTGGGGAACTGAAGTTGGCGACCGCCGGCGGCGTGGGCTGGGGAAGGGCCGGCGGCAAAGGGGCAGTGGTCTCAATGCGGTGCGCGACCTGCTGGCAGTTCCGCACAGCGTAGAGGGAAGTTGCAGGAGAGGCCCCTGTGCTCCAGGAGGGGAGGCGGGCGGCTGAAAGCCGGGTGGAGTCGGCGGTCCTCTCGAGCCCCAAGTCGGGGCTCAGCGCACCGTTGCCTGCCGTGAGAGGGGCGAGCGACTGGGTTCTCACCACCTCCCCGACCAGGGCAGGCCGCTAAAATTGTCCGGACGCCAAGCCCTCCGGAGTCCGACCGGGAGCCCGGGTAGCGCAGGGGCTGCCGCTCAGAGCCGAGGACGCAGCGCCGCCAGGGGCCGCTGCAGGACCGTGGACCGGCCGGGCCGCGCGCCCGCCTCCCCGCCCCCTCCCTCCCGCACCGACTCAAGTCGGGACTCCGCTTTCGGCTCCTGAAACGAGGCACGAAAAACTTTATTGTGGCGATGCGATCGCCAGACCCTCGCAGTTACCCTCCCACCCCCATCCCCACCCCCATCGTGCAGACTTTCCAGCCCTCGGCCGGCCCTGCCTCCCGCTCGAGGCTCCCTGCGGGGCGTCTGCGGCCCGCGGTCATCTGGGAGAGGACTCGGGGCGGCGCTTCTGGGAGCCGGACGGCTCGGCGGCAGGCGCGCGGCCCGCGCCGCGGACTGTCCTTCCTTTGCAGTCCTACTCTTGGCTGTGGCCCAGGAAGCTCCCGACCGCCCGTCAGGTGGTGGAGGAAGGGGCGCTACTGGGAGAGGGCGAGGCCCTGGCCGGTCTCGAGGAGGAGTAGAGGAAGGTGGAGCGGATGGTCCATCCCGGCGGGAGCTGGCTGGGCGAGTGGCCGCGCATGTGCGCCTGCATGGAGGCCAGGCTGGGGCAACCGGCCTGGCACAGAGGACAGCGGTAGGGTGCAGCCCCGTGCGTCCGCAGGTGCTTGGTCATGGCCGAGAAGTCCCGGGAGCGTTGGGGACAGAGGCTACAGGAAAAAGGCTTCTCTCCTAGCAGCGGCGAGGAGAAAGCCCGGTAAGAAAAGGAAAAAAATGGAAAGGTGGTGTAGGCTGACCTAAGGGTCGGTAGTGCCATGGGCAAGGGGGTTACAGGGGGCCAGGCCTGCAGAGGGGGGCTCACGCTGGCCCACCGAAGTTTGAAAGCAAGCAGACCGTTCAAACTGGGCAGGGCGCCCATACCTGTGTGGACGCGGTAGTGTGTCTCCATCTGATGCTTGAGTGAAAATCGCTTGCCACAGACAGAACAAGAATAGGGCCGAGATGTGGTACGAGGGGGCAAGGGAGGCTGTTGGCGAGACCGGTGGCCTGCTGTGCCCACATGACCCACAGAGGTTGCAAAAGCTTCTGGGAGGATAGAGAAGGCATAGGACGAGGCTGGGAATCCCAGAATCAGGTCACTGGGCACCCAGGCAAGACCTCAGGGATTACTATGGGGCAGGGACCAAACCGCCCTATCCCTACTCACCTCTGTGCCTCTGATCGCACTCATCCATCTCCCCAGGGATGAGCTGGGTGGGGCCCTGGGGGAGGGAACCTGGAGGAAGCAGGGACGAGATGCCTTGCTCAGGCTGGAGTCTTAAGTCCCAGTCCCAGAAAAAAGCACCATATTGTAAGGTCTGTCAGGAGCATAAAAGGCTTACCTGGGGTGGGGCTGGAGGAAGCCAACTGGTTCTGGCCCCAGAACCCTTTGTGGGGATGCTGGGGAGGTGGGATCCTGGGGGTGGAGTGGGAAAGTGTTAACAACCTTGGCAAAATCTAGGGGGTATCAGACCAACCTCTTCCTGAAGACCAACCCCTTCCTGGAGAGGGAGGAGCATGAGTCGCCCCAGAGGCTGGGCTTTGGTTTTCACAGTGAACTGCTTTTTTTTTTTTTGGCTTTTTTGGGGTGGGGGGGTCACACCGGTGATGCTCAGGGTTTACTCCTGGCTTTGCACTCAGGAATCACTCCTAGCGGTGCTCGGGGGACCATATGGGATGCTGGGAATCGAACCTGGGTCGGCCGCGTGCAAGGCAAATATCCTACCCGCTGTATTGCTCCAGCCCCGATATGCTTGTTCTATGTCCAGCTCAGAAAGTGAGTCAGTAAGAAACAGGGTGCCCTGCCACCCATCACCACTGCCTCTTCTGAGCCACTCCCTCCCCAGCCAGAGAGATCTTCACTCACCTCTGGTCCCAAGGCCAGAACTGCCAGGCTCCAGTGATGGGGCTACTATAGGAGAAGGGATTGCCACATCTGGGTGGCAACAGCAGGATGCTCCACAGGGCAGGCTGGCCCTCCCCTAACCACGGGGCTTCCCCTTGCCAGGGTCTAGGGGTGCTAATGGTTTGAACAGAACCTGGTGGGGGCAGGGGGCCAGGGAACTCCCCAAGACTTTCCTCAGAACCTCCCGCATTTTCCCTCCTCCACATGATAGCTTCTGGCTTCCCATCTGCCTCCCTGTGGCCCTCACTCGCCTGCATTGCCCCTGACAGCTCTGGGCTCTCTCCTGCTGGCCTGTGCTCCCGCTGGGTCTCCTGCTCTCTCCCACCAATACCAACAAACTTCGTTGGTCTTGATTTCTCTTTAAGAACCCCTGGCTCTCTCTCAGAATTCTGTGCAAGTTTTTCTGGCTCCCCCTGATATACCTTCATCCCAGGACCCATTTCTTCTCTAGCCTTGTCCCTTCGAGCCCTCCTGCATTCTTCTTCCAGGGACGGAACTTCCAAGACCCTGGCTGCCTCCTCGAGGGGCTCCAGTTCCCCTGGCTGCAGCTCTACACTCTCCCCATAAACAAAGTGGAGCACGTGGGCAAAGGTGGAAGGGCTGATGCCTTTCGCCAGAGCCCAGTGGCCCCTGCGGCCCAGCTGCTGGCTCACACCCGCAAGCACCAGGCTGTGGGCAGGGAACTCTTGGCTCTCCACAGTGATCAGGGCGTCACATAGTGCTGGTCGGAGTCTGGCTGCAAGACGCACTAGCCGGTCAGAGCCATAGGGACTAGACAGTATTATTGGAGGCCAGGGCATCGCTGGGGTAACAGTCTCAGAAGTTTTGAGTAAAAGGCCACAGTGTGGGGTCCATGGTAAAAAGGGCGGGAGGAACAGCAAATTCTCAAGCCTGTGGAGGTGAGGGGAGAGACAATGAGTGGCTGGTTCTGAATCAGGGCTCTGCTGAATGGAATAAATGAACCACAAGAGAGCCTGACTTGGTCCAGAATCATAATATGCCAAGAGTGGGGTGCTGGTGAGAGGAGATTGGAAATCACACCAAATTCAGGATTGAAAGAGAGCAAGGATTAGAGTGAGGTTAAGATTTGTAGAAACAGGACTGCCAGTTGATAGTCTCTGGCTTTTTTAAAAGCATAGCTGATGGTGTTAATTCTCTCCAAGGCCCTCTGAAGGGAAAGACCTCTTAAGTAGGCCTGGCTTTCCTGATAGAAAAATGCAGTCAGCAGAGATGTAGAAAACCCAGCGTCAGGGCATAGTTTAGAAAGCTGTGTCTACCCTCACCCCTCCCAGATACCCACACACCGAACTTATCTCAGAGCTGAGGGTCCTGACAGGCTAAAAGGGCATCAAGATGGGAAGAAGCTATAGCCTCTGTACCAACATCTCCCTGAAGTTGAAGCTTCTAGAAATGTATCCTCAGAGAAGAAACTGGAGACCCCAAAGACGCTCATTCTGTGACTCTGGAGAGCAGGCACAGAAGCCAAGGGTGGAGAGAAGTTTTGAAGAAGGCTTTGGCTCTGGAGAGGAAACCTTAGATAGAGAGGCTGTTTCAAGATCAGGGTAAGTGAATGGCTTAATTTTGCTTTTTAAAAGTCAAAAGAAGTGGAAGGAAAACCGAACAAGGCAGAAGGGTATTACGCATCAAAACCACCATATTGACTTTTAAGAAAGGAACCAGGAGCCCAGAGAGGAGGATACAGGCCTCAATGTCTTATTACTACCTGGACATCTCAGAGATGGAGTCACAGGTGGGCAGGAAGTGGACAGAAAGGGGTACAATGGGACGAAAGTCTCATCTGGGGAGAAGCAACCACTCACCAGTTGTTGCTTCCTCCTGGACACCGCATGCTCTGAACTGCTGTTGGGGTTCCTGGGTGCCCCCCACCCCCGCTGGCCCCGCCCCTAACCTCACTGTCTTCCATTGGATGTCCCAAGTACTAGCCTGCTTCAGCCCCTGATAAGGGTGTGATTTTATAGCGCCGTCTTTGCTTTACTTGTCCAAGAGACCATTCCCTTTACTTCCAGAACCCAGGCATTCCCTTCTATCTCCTGACTCAGTTCATTTGGGAACTTCAAAGAAGTGTAGCTGAGGCAATAGAAACTTTGTAATAATCAGTCCTGCCTTTGAGACTTGTCTCTGCACCACTGAGCTACCTCAGGCAAGTCACCTTTCAGCCCCATTACCTCCTTGTCTTTGGAATAGGGATAACCTCTGCTTACTTCATTTGAAGGTGGGAGTGAATATGAAATAACTTTCATATGAAAGTGGATTGTTCATACATAGCACCAAATAATATTGTTTCCTAGAAGTATCAGGAGAGCTCTAACAGCTGGATGTTATTTCTACTACTTCGAAAGTAAAAAGGATGGAAATAATTGGGTCTAAAGAGTGAAGGAAAACCCAGAGCATGCCTCCTCCTCCTCCCTGAATCGATACTAGGAAGCTTTGGTACTCTGTGGGAATGACCCCTGTCATCAAGGCCACCACTGGGAACTTGGTTGTATGGGGTGACTCAGATCCTCCCAGCAAGCTGTGGAGGGGCAACCCCAGGAAGGGCTTGTGGTGGTCTCCAAAGAGAAAAACTCCTTTTCTTGGGCTGATGACAAATGATATTTCTCTGAAATCAGGACTCCGGGGTTTATCTCATTTCCTGCCCAAAAGGGCCTGGTTCTCAGGTTCCCCTCTTTTCATACTTTAGCACTCCTCAACCTGGGCAAAGGATGAATCTGAAAGATTTATTTTTTGTTGTTGTTTTTTGGGTTACACCTGAATGGTGCTTACAGATAACTCCTGGCAGGGCTTGGCAGACCCACATGGGTGCTGGGGATCAAACCTACGTTGACCACTTGCAAGGCAAGTGCTCTGCCCTCCATACTAACTCTCCAGCCCCCTTAATTTTCTTTTTCTATTTCTCATTATTCATTAATCCCTTATTGAGGGGAAAATTTTCATTCATCCAGTAATATTGATCTCACTATGTACCAAAATGCCTAATAACTCCCAATTGTTCAGAACAGCTTTCTACTTTCCCCCTTCAGATCTTACATTACTTCCTTCTACCTCTCATTCTGGCTTCAGGTATAGGAAGATGTTAACCCTTCCTAGGTCAGACAGGGTGTGCCAATGGGTGGGGCTGGTGGAGGGGCATACTAGGGTGCAGAGAGGGGAAGATGAGTCAGAGTGAAAGGGAAAATGCAAATGGGCAAGCAGTATTCATTTGCTACTATGAACGTTAAATATTTTCCATTTCTGAGCTTTCTAACTCCTCACAACCACACCCAGGGACTCTATTAAAGGCATTTACTTGGCTTGCAAACATAAAAGTACCAATACCTGAAACATACTGTATACAGAGGGAAACTTCCTACTGATAACGTGGAATAGTCCCTGAAGATATGGAGTATGTAGGGAAAGCCATTAAAACAGTATTTTAAGTGTAAAAATTAAGTATCCATAGGTCTGTCAGGGTACAGACATGTGGTGTCCCCTCCCAGTCCTACATTATGTGCCCATGACTCAGGTCACCCACTCAATGTGGCTTGTCTACTGATGAGCAAGAGAGTTTTGTTTTTGTTTTTGGGTCACGCCCGGCATTACTCAGGGGTTACTCCTGGCTCTGTGCTTAGGAATTATTTCTGGCAGTGCTCAAGGGACCATATGGAATGCTGGGGAGCAAACCCTGGTCACCCACATGCAAAGCAAGCACCCTCCTCACTGTACTGTCTCCCTGACCCCTGATAATCCGGAGAATGAAAGCCTGTGATCAAAGGGTAAAACCCTTTGTAAGAAAATGCAATTGGCACACTGTCAGTGAGTGGGCTTTCAGGGAACCCAAAAGGGAGGAGAAGGGGCAAGAGGGACTCCCCACTCAGCAAAATCCCCCAAGACAGGGGGAAACCCCATCTTGCTTTTCACGTGGTGTCTACCCCATCTAAGGATATCCCTCTAAAGACCAATTCCTGAGAGGTATCTCTAGGGCCCTCTTTTTCACCCTAGTCCCTTAGGCTGGTACCATGTGAGACCCTTCTCTTCCTTCGTTCTAGACTGCACAGTCTTAATTCGTTCTGCACTGCAAAGTGTCAAGAGAAGCAAACGGGCTAGAGCAATAGCACAGTGGGTAGGGTGTTTGCCTTGCACATGGCCAACCCGGGTTCGATTCCCAGCATCCCATATGGTCCCTTGAACTCCGTCAGGGGTAATACCTGAGTGCAGAGCCAGGAGTGACCCCTGTGCACACCCGGCTGTGACCCAAAAAGAAAGAAAAAAAAAAAGCAAACAGCTCTTTGACTAGGAAGAGACTGCTGACTTGCTATGATTGGAAGATCTCCACTCTAGTATAGCGGGAAGGGTACTTGCTTTGCACGTGGCCAGCCTGGGTTCAATCCCCGGCATACTATATGTTCCCTTGAGTACCACCAGGTATGATTCCTGAGTGCTTAGTCAGGAGTAATGCCTGAACACTGCTGAGTGTGGCCCCCAAACCAAAAAGAAAACAGAAAAAAAAGCAATATATTTTCTTTCCAGTTTCAGAAACTGCTAATTTTCCACTTCCCAGGATAAGAAGGAATCCCTGGGAATCATGTCCCAGAGGTGGAGTCAGGAAACTATAGGTATATTCCAGCATTCTGGGGGTAAGGGGAGAGTAGGTAGGAGAGATGAGGTAAGAAATCACTAAAAGAGCAGCTTGGAGCAGAAAAGTGAAAGGACTATGCGTTAATCCAGGCAATCATTTCTGCCCAGAGGGGAAAGGGTGTTGCTCCCTTCCGCCCTCCTCCCTCTGGAAAGAAAGATGGCGGCCACATGGGAGCCTTGTGGACAGCAGGTATGAGCCGGGGGTGTGGGGGCGACTAAAACCTCATGGGTCGGGGGGCGTTCCAGTCCGTCCTTCACGCCCTACCGAGGTCACCAGTCGCCCCCCCGCGAGCGGCTCTCCAGCACGGCCATGGCCCCAGAAGCACAAGGACTTAATGCAGAACCCAGCAGCTTGGAGCAGAAAAGTGAACGGACTATGCGTTGATCCAGGCCATCAAGTCTGCCGGAGGGGAAAGGGTGTTGCCCCATTCGCCCTCTCCTCTCTGGAAAGAAAGATGGCGGCCACATGGGAGCCTTGTGGACAGCAGGTATGAGCCGGGAGTGTGGGGGCGACTAAAACCTCATGGGAAGGGGGGCGTTCCGGTCCGCCCTTCACGCCCTACCGAGGCCACCGGTTGCCCCCCGCAAGCGGCTCTCCAGCACGGACACGACTCCAGAACACAGAAACCAATTTCTTAACTATCTGACTTTCAGTAGAAATACTTCCAGGGTCAATAGGTAAAATAGCAGAAATCCAAAACCAACATTTAATTCTTGAACCCAGCTGTAGAAAGCAAATCACTTCACAATGCTTTTTCAGCATCTCTGATTTGGGGGGGGGGGGTAAACTCTAAATAATAGTGGTGAATCTTTTATTGAAACAATGAATCTAATCAAAGCAGATAGAGTGTTAACTAGAATTCATCTGCCTCACAGGGACGGGGAGGGGTGGGGGGTGGGGTTTTATTGGGGTTCTTCATGGTAAAAAATAAGTATTGGTAAAGGGAAATGTGTTTGATATTTGCATGACTGAGACATAAACCTGAAAGCTTTGTAACCTTTCCCACAGTGATTCAATAAATAAATAAAATAAAATAAAATAAAAGAAATCACTAAAAGAGAAATGTGAGGGCAAGAGTCTGATTTTTTTACTTCTCAGACTTTTTCTAATATTCATATTACTAAATAGAACTTATTTTGGAGTCGCACTCAGCAGTGCCCAGGG